CAGCTCCCCAGGGTGTCCCCGTGGTGTCCCGCGGTGCTGAGCCCTCCCTGTGTCCCCCCAGGAGAGCAGGACGAGTCGCTGTGCAAGAGCTACATCTCGCAGCTGAAGGACATCCGGCTGCAGCTGGAGAGCTGCGAGAGCCGCACCGTGCACCGGCTGCGCCTGCCCCTGGACGCCGACCCGCTGCGCGAGTGCGCCCAGCGCCAGGCCGAGCAGCAGGTGTGTGACACGCGTGTGACACGTGTGTGCGGGTGTGTGACACACGTGCAACGTGCATGGACAGGGACCTTGGCGCCAGGACGGGGCTGGGGGCTGTCATGGAGCCTCAGAATGGTTTGGCTTGGGAAAGCCTCTGAGCCCATCGGGTCCGACTGCTCCCCCAGCACTGCCAGGTCCGCCACTAAACCGTGTGCCCACGTGCCACATCCACACAGCTGTTAAACCCCCCCAGGGATGGGGACTCTACCCCTGCCCCGGGCAGCCTGTGCCAGGGCTGTACAGCCCTTCTTCGGAAGGAATTATTCCCAGTATCCCATGTAAACCTCCCCTGCCCACTTGCTGTGGTGGGCTGCAGACCCTGCCCCTGCTCGGCTCCTCCTCGGGTCCAGGGGGACCAGGGGAGCATTGGATGGGGGTTCACCCTGACCCGCAGCTGGCAGGGACTGAGGGACTCCCTCCCTACAGCAAACCCACCTGGAGCTGGAGGGCATCCAGAAGAACCTGGCCAAGGTCAGCGAGAAGACGGAGCAGGTGCTGGCGCAGCCGGAGCAGGCGGGCTCAGCCCCTGTCCTGCGCTCCGAGCTGGAGGTCACCCTGCGGAAGATGGAGCAGGTGTACAGCCTCTCCAGCATCTACCTGGAGAAGTGAGTGTGATCCCGGCCCTGGCACTGCATGGCTTCTTCTTGGAACCCTGGGCTGGGAATGAGCCTGGGCAGCTGGTGGGCTCAGGGGCTTGGGGGAAACCGGTGTGTCCTTCTCTTCCCTGTTGCCTCTTCATTTCCCTCTTTGTTTCTGTTCACTGTTTCCATCTCCTTTCCTTGCCCTGCCTTGCCCTCTGCCCTTCCCTTCTTCCTTCTCCCTTTTATTTCCCTTTTCCTTCCCTCATGTCTCTGTGCTGCCACCCTGGCTGAGCTGTCCCACTCTCAGCTGATCTCACCCTGTCCCACTGCCGTCTCACTCCTGTCCTGCCCCTGGCTGATCAACTCTGCTCCCCGCTGATCCCTCCCGCTGCCACAGGCTGAAGACCATTGGGCTGGTGATCCGGAGCACGCAGGGGGCTGAGGAGCTGCTCCGCAAGTACGAGGAGCAGCTGAAGGATGTGCAGGCGGTGCCGGCTGACCTGGCTGAGCTGGAGGCCAGCAAGGCCGAGCTGAA